GATGATCACACCTCATTTGAAGAAGCCATGAGAAGTGATCATTCATCAAAGTGGCTTGAGGCCATGAAAGATGAAATAAAATCTATGAATACCAATAAAGTTTGGGACTTAGAAATGATTCCTAAAGGAGCCAAAACAGTAGGCTGTAAATGGGTATACAAAAATAAAACTTGACTCTCAAGGGAATATAGAGAGATATAAAGCGCGACTTGTGGCAAAAGGCTTTACGCAAAGAGAAGGGATTGATTACAATGAGACCTTTTCTCCAGTCTCATGTAAGGATTCCTTCATAATCATAATGGCATTAGTGGCACATTACGATTTAGAACTACATCAGATGGATGTAAAGACGGTATTTCTCAACGGGGACTTGGAGGAAAATGTTTACATGACACAACCAAAAGGTTTTGTCATGGAAGGAAAAGAACGAATGGGATGCCGCCTAAAGAAATCCATTTATGGATTAAAACAAGCTTCAAGTCAGTGGTACTTGAAGTTTGATCAAGCAATAAGGAATTTTGGATTTAAAAAGAATATAGAGGACAATTGTGTATGTGCAAAGTTTAAGAATGGAAAGTTTATTTTCCTTGTCCTGTATGTGGATGATATCTTACTTGTTAGTAGTGATGTCAGTCTACTATCGGAGACAAAGAAGTTTTTGTCCTCAAAATTTGATATGAAAGATCTTGGTGAAGCTTCGTTCATTCTAGAGATCGAGATTCACCGAGATAGAAGTAAATGGGTATTAGGACTATCATAAAAGGCATACATAGAAGAGATCTTAAAGAAATTCAGTATGTACAAATGTAGTCCCTCACCTACTCCTATAGTCAAGGGCGACAGATATGGGGATTTTCAATGCCCTAGGAATCAGTATGAGATCGATCAAATGAAAACGGTTCCATATGCTTCAGCTGTCGGAAGCTTGCAATATGCTCAAGTATGTACACGCCCTGACTTGGCATTTGTTACCGGGTAACTTGGCAGATTCTAGAGCAATCCTGGAACAGAACACTGGAAATTAGTAAAGAAAGTCTTGCGTTATTTGCAAGGAACGAAAAGCTTTATGATGACGTATAGAAGATCTGATTCACTCCATATAATGGGATATTCAGATTCTGATTATGCGGGAGATGATAGAAAATCCACGTCTGGATATGTATTCACTCTCGCAGGGGGGGCTATTTCATAGAAAAGCTCAAAGCAAACCGTCACTACATCGTCCACAATGTATGTCGAGTTTGTAGCATGTTATGAGGCAACGGGGCAGGTGAACTGGCTAAAGAAGTTCATACCCGGTTTAAAGGTGGTTGACGACATCTATAGACCACTTAAGTTATACTGCGATAATAATCCGGCAGTACAGTATGCTCACAACAATAAGCCAAGTGGTGCTGCCAAACACATTGACATAAAATATTATGTTGTGAAAGATAAAGTCCAGGATCATGTCATAAATCTTGAGCATATAAGTACCGAAAAGATGCTCGTGGATCCACTTACAAAAGGCTTACCACCCAACGTGTTCAGAGAACATGTAGCTAGCATGGGTTTAAGGGAAAGCCTATAATTTCTGAACAAAAGAAGACCCAAAGTTAAGTATCTATTTCAGAACAGAGTGGTGCGTTGTAGCTGTTAAATCTATCGGCAATTGACCGTGACGATGAAACATGCTCTATGCGCTAATCTGTAATGGAATGAACAAAAGTAAATGATATAAAATTGAAAGATAGTAGTTAAATCAAGGGGGGGAATGTTAGTTGATCTCCGCCAATGATCTATTGGGCCCTTGGATCTGCGCCCTGATCGGGGGCGCCCAACCCTAATATGGTTGGTGGGCCCCTGTCGCACAGCACTATAAAGAGAGGTGGGGATCAGGGCTCTAACTATGAGGTTGACCGGAGCCGCCGTGACCCACCAACAGAAAACCTAACCCGATCTAAAGAGGGTGCTGCCAGCGACGAGAAGACCCACTGACTTCACCGCCGCCAACCTCACCGTCGCCTCTGCATCGCCACTGGACCTCGCCACCACTACGCTAGACTCCACCGCGCCGAGCTGCCACGACACTGGCGTCCAAGCCGCTGCAGCGCCATGGACCGAATGATGACCTAGGGCGAGGTATATCAACAGTTTTCCCATCTAAGTAAGATGCTTACCCCTGATATACGTTTCAGAGGCAATGTGTTTACCAACAGAAAAGTCCATGGCATTAAACCTCACTTGCCCTTTACAGGTGTGCATATGTTTGGCAAGTGAGTTACTGTATCAGATCAGATCATCGTGCTCCTGTAGCCATAAAGCTATCGGTACGTACCCTTGCAAACCGAGCCCCACCTCTGCATGCCGATCCTAACCACGAGAGGATTTGATTCGTATGCATGCAAAGCTTTAGATCATGCATGCCCTGCGTACAACGTACAACTGATGAACTGAGAGCAGTGAGAGGGTCCATGCATGCCAAATCAATTGCGTTTGGCCAGGCAAAAGAAGGCTGCAGAGACCTTCAATTTTGCGCTGGTCCTACGCCTCTCATTCTTTCTGATTGCAGCAAAAGTTGCTCGTCGAGCTAGGCCTGTTCGGCTGGGTGAAAAAAATGGTTGATGCTGATGTTGATGCTAATTGTTGCGAGAGAAAAATACTATTATTTAATTAAAATGGTACGGCTGATAACTTATAGCTAACAGAGCCTGATGAGGCTGGGCATGCATGCAACGTCGAGGAGGAGGGGCCCTCCTCCATGGAAAAGATATCTTGCAAAAGAGGATTGTAATCTAGTTTAAGCATGCACGAGATGGAATAATCTATCGCATCCTTTCGGCGATGATGGTGTTCGTTTGGTATGGTACTAACAAATCATCGCTTGTCCGTCCCTGGCTAGCTACTTGCTAGCTGCTTCTTTTGGTTCCTACCATTGGCCCCATGGGAGAGGGAGACCCTACCAGATGTTCCCCCTTTTTCTACCTTTATCTAGGTTTCCCCATGCCCCGACACGTCTTTTCTGGCTCACGTTAAAAACAGCCAGAAATTGCAGTGATTGAGTTGGGTGTATGTATGTGCATTCAAGCCCTTCTACAAGGTGGTAAATGAAAGCGAGTGGAAATTCTGTGAATGTCTCGTCGTGCAAGTGCAAGGTGCAATGAGGTTTAATTACGCAAAAAAAAAAAAGAGGCGCAATGAGGTTTGGACGTTTGGTCATGTCAATATTAATCAGGATGGGCCATTCAAAGATGTGCCCTCAGCTCGTATGCCTTTATATTCACAGATGTACTACCTCGTATGACAATATTGCTGCCACCAGATGGGCTATCGATCGCACGTGTGCCAAAATTTAATCAGGATGTTGTGAATGTGATGCGATTTGCAGCCGACAACTAGAGATGAGAGTGTTACTGCTACTGATACTCAGCATAGGTTGATTCTCACAAGCCAAGTTCAAAAAATATAAATGCTAAAGTTTCTCCAATGATAAAAAAACATCTGACTTTAATTTGGTAGACTAATCATCGTCACAAATGATAGCCAATCAATTGTGTTGAATGCGAGAGTTACAGAACTCTTGAGAGAGGAGGAACTCAAATGGTACCAAAGGTCAAAGGTAAGGAACTTATTAGAAGGAGATGCAAATATGAAATATTTTCAGTTAGTAGTAAATGGGAAGCATAGGAAAACTCGTATTTTCAAATTAGAACAAGAGGATGGTGGTGACCAGCAGATTTTGAGTGAATTATTTTAGAACGCACATTAGATCAAAGATTTACTATCCATGCTGTAAATTTTTTTGTAATTTTTCTAAGCTCTAGTAATTACTAAGGTTATGATAAACAAAATGGCTCCCATGATCAAAGATCCAAAGCACCATAAAGGCACGGTTCCTAGTACAATCTATGAACTACTCCCCGCTCTCAAAATTATCTGGATGTTTTATATTTGTCCTAATTCATACCAATTTAATTTTAACTAAATTTATAGGAAATAACATCAACGTTTATAACACCAAATAGATATAATATATAAAAATATAATTCATGATAAATCCAAAAATATTATTTGGTATCATAAACATTGTTTTTTTGTATGAACTTATCAAACTTGAAACATGCCATTGGACAAGTTGCACAATACTTCTAATATTTCAGGGCCCCTTTTGGATTGCGGAATTTTTTCCCAAACTTCTATGTTTTTTCTATAAAATTAAACTGATTCATATGAAATTACTGTGCGGATCCTACGAAGTTCCTATGGTCCCTCAACAATCAGAGCATCTCGATTCATGATGACCTAGGAAACATCGCACAAATCAGCAGTCGGTACTCCAATTGCAACATTCCCTAGCCCCTACGGAGCAATACAGGTGCCACAACTCACAACAGCTGGTCAAGCAGGAGTGGGACGGACGGAAGCTGTGTACCTGTGTGCGTGTAGCCATGTGGTCAGTGTCAGCTCTCAGCTGCGGCGTGTTAAAGCCCAGCCTGTGTATCATCAGCCCGTGAAATAGGCTACATACCCTTGTTGTCGTGTGAAAGGCTCCTCCCTTGTCATCGTATCAATGATCCAATTTGTCTAGCTCACATCGTCGATCATCACCGGTGGCAAGGGGTGTGATCCAATAGCTACATACCCTGCTCCCAGGTGCTCCACAAAATCACAATCTTATCTTAAAACAAAAAAAGCATGCAACAGCGTAATTCAAGCAGGAAACAGGAAACGAGTGTTCATTCACTTGAGCATAGCTTATCACATGTGCAGGGAGAAACAGCACATAAACGCTACACGGTTTCTAGTTTCAACAGAGTTTATTCTCAAAACAGAGGTAGATCCCCACACCGGCTTGGAGATACCCACCTGCCAGTGCCGTTTCACTCCATCAGACTCGCCCATCCTTGCTATGCCAGCAGCACACATCGGCACGAGTTTTCACATAGCTGCCAGTACGATATCCTCATAGGGTAACTTTATGTACATAACTGGATGTCTGGATACAATCAGGTCTACAAGTTCTAGCAGACTTCGGTATCAAACTTGAGGCAGATCCCCATGCTGAAGAGTTCCTGGTAGAGCAGCTTCGCGCCATAGGGCACATTGATTCTCACTATGTTCTCCGAAGACTTGCAGAAGCCGCAGTAGGGGCCACTGATCTTTTTGCCTCCGGGGACAGACCTCATGACAACCAGCCTGTTCGCTCGTTGGTTTCAGCCAGCCCAAACCAGTCAGTCAACAGTGTTTCTCTCTCACAATTAACCAGTACCAGTCAGCCCAAACCAGCCCAGAAACCAACCAGCGAACAGGCCAAACATTAGCCACACGCTCGCATGTCTGGCAGATGTGCATCTGGGAGAAGTCACTAAGCATGAAGAGGTGTTCATGCAGGTTGGCAGCTGACCCATGGGCGAGGAGACAATCACGCTCCATTTCTCCAAACTTAACTCCACCAAACCTTTTCCTGTCGGCAACAGGCTGCCTCGTGAGGGGGTGCACCGGCCCAGTATTACGGAATTTCACCTTATCTTCAGACATATGAATCAGCCTCTGGTAAAAGGTGGGCCCCATGAAAACCAAGGATTGCATTCTTTCACCAGTTCGGCCACTTAGAACATTCTCGGCTCCCCATCGTGAATAACCAGCCCTGCAATGCAACAGGATACATAAAATTTTGGAGATCGACTAAACAAATCACAGAAGAAAACAAGTCTACAACACAAGAAAATAACTAAAATATTCTCATTCTCAGATACATTCCATGCACAGTTACTTGATTATCTGAAGTAAGATCCTCACTGATAACATGTTAGTGTGTGAGCGCACTCAGCTTTATATATCTAGTGGTGCCACTATGGATGTCTCGGTTAAGAAAAAGATAAGCATCAACTGATAGTAATACAAGTTAAAAAAGGAAAGGGAAGGAAAGTTATGTGTTTCCACCATTTTGGAGCAAAAGATTACAAAAAGATACATACATGTGAAATTACTGTAAACTAAGAGATACTAGGAACAATGCAGTACATGTTTACTCAAATGACCAATATCCAAAATATGAGGTTAGCCACCAGCCATTCTGTGTGTGTGTACTTTATTTCCCTACCTTTCTTTTTCTTTTTCTGTATGTGTAATAAGCAGTAAAGTATTAACAGAGTTAAGACTTGAGAGCATGGGTGCATTAATGACGTACAAGGTTCTTATAAGATGTACTAATAAGCTTAACAATTACAAAGTTCAACTAAAAGAGGCTAAAAAATGCTCAACCCTTTGAAAGGGTCTCATATATTTGTTTCGTGTGCAAGGGGCGGGTTACTGAATAAGGCAAGCAGCTATTCATCCGTCGGAAGAAGAAACACTTACCTGTGCAACTGTTCTGCAATAACATCAACTGATGCTGTGGTGAATGGTGTTGCATATCTCATTGTACCTTTGCAGGCTATACCCTTCCCCAGAGCAGCTTCAAGCAGCTGTCCGGGAGTTTGACGTGTTGGGAAGGCATGTGGATTTATCACAATATCCGGGACTATACCTTTGTGAGTAAATGGGAAGTTCTCTTGAGATTCTAGAAAACCAACAACACCTTTTTGGCCATGCATGCTGGAAAACTTATCTCCAAGGCAAGGTGTCCGAACCTAAAATCAGATCAACAAAGAAAACTTTAAATGGTCAATAAAAAGTAACATATGTGGCGTAAATGTGAAGGTGGGGACGCAAATAAAATTAGAATAGTCACATTACAAGTGTTGGAAGGATCCAGTTCACAGTGAGTATAATTAGATATCGCTCCTTCACTCTCAAACAAATGCCTGATTCCCCACGCACATTGTATATCTTCCTCCTCTTCAACACCAATGAACTCAATTATTTCTTGTTGCATTAATTCCTGGAAAGAGAATGAGCGCCCCTTTGGTTTTCTGATTTTTTTAAGGTTCTCAACCACAAGAAGGGGTCTGAGGATTCGCCCGGCATCAGAAAAAACACGAACCTCCTTGTGGTGCTTGTCCCTTTTAATTTCAACCTAATAAGATGAAACGAGAAACATAAGAAACATTATAAAGAACATCTTGGTGTGGAATATTAGTATGCAGTACTGAGAAGGTGTCAACAACTAAAAGCAACTGACATCCTCACATTTATGCATTGAGAAAAGGATGCAACCTAAAATTACATGACTCAAAACACAACATTCGAGATAGGCAGGAAATGTTCAGCAGTTAACTGAAACAGAAAAGAAAGACAACACAATTTGGGAAATTGGTAATAAACAAACTAATATAACAACTTGGTCACTTCAAAGGAAATGGTTTTAACCTATTTATACTTGCTCATTAATCAAATTGCAAAGAACATTTATCCTCAAAAAATAGGTAATAGATATAAGACAGAGCATCAAGATTGCAAAGGAGCCAAGGAAAACCATTATTATTTAAGCAGGCTTTATAAGCAAGTTAATGGATCAATGTATACTAAAGATGAAATTTGACTTTTATAAAATCAATGACAGGAAATTGGGACTCTTCTAAAACAAAACACTGTGCATATATGGAACCTGCACACCAAGCATCTTAGTAAAGGCTGTAAATAAGTTAAAGCAGAGAGTGACCAACCATGGGAAAGAGAGGGAACCTGAGGATCAATCAGATTGCTGCGTCTCATGCACCTCAATCGAAATACAAATGAAGCTGAATCTTTACAAGATCCCACCCAATTGCCATTCAAAAAGATCTTATCCATTCTTTGAATGTGCTCAGTAGGAATGTCATTCAGCTTACTCATTCCACAAGAAACGAAGCTCTCAATCAAGGGCTGCACCACCCTTGAGCTAACAATAGTAGTAACAGCTAGATTTTTTACAAGTCCACAGTTTTCACCATCCGGAGTGGACATAAAACACAGCTTTCCCCAATAGGATGGATTCCTATACGTAGGGATTTAGTTTTAAGTCACTCAACGTTAGGAGATACAAAAGCACAAGATGGACATGCAATACTTGGTTGATGAAAAATAAGTTACTTACGGATATCTTGCATCACCAGCTTTCCCAGCATAAGCAACCCGCTGCCGGGTTTTCCTCAAGTCAGACATCATTTGAAGAGGATTAGTTCTCCTTAGAGTCGCAACAATTCCTGAGCACCGTTCAGCTCTTTTGTAGGGATGGCACCAAGAACCAGTGGAAAAGGCACGATTTAGACCATTAGTAACAATCGATGCATCTATATAACGTTCAAGATCTTGTAACTCACGGTCACTATTCAAATCTCTTTGAATGGCCTTAACCATGCGTCTCTCTGCCAGCCTAAGATGTGCCCTAAGTTCCCTTCCAAGCAATTCACCAGGTAGGTCCAGCCTCTTGTTCCTGAAGTCATCCTTATTATCACATTTACGCTTCCCAGTAAAAGCCATTAGCAGACATTTCACCATGTACCCTAAGAAAAGTGCTTTGTTTCTATTTCCACTAATATCAGCAAAGAGAAACCTAGCAATATAGTCATCAAAGGACTCCGCTGGAGGAAATCTCGAACTTTTTACCAACTCATCAACATATTGACGAGCTTTATCTGATTTACGAAAGCCTTAACACAGTTCATCAGATTCTTTGATAGTTGCAGATATCGTGTTGACAACAGAAGCATCACAATCTTGCATATCAATCACATCAAAGGCTTCCTTATCTGATGATATTCCAAGTGCAAAGAACAACAACCAAATTGGCATTGTCGCATACAAAAAGGAAATGGAAATGATTTTGCTCCCACTGAAATCTTCATTCCTTGTAGATTCAACTAGTTTAATATATATACGTCTACTCTTCATTTCAGACATAAAAGAGATAATCCAGCAAGGACGATCACTAATCCAAAGCCTCTTTAGACATCTTTGCTCTTGAGCAATGAATACCTGCAGGTATGACAACAATAGAAACATAGTTAGATGAAAGAAAAATACTATATGTGATTCAAAGGGCATTCTCTTTGTAGTAAAAAGGCTACGACTCAGATAGTCACACCCCAAAAGGAAACTCCAAATGAACTTAGCAAATAATCGGGTATCTGAAATCATGAAATGGTATCTGAGTATGTCATCAGCAGATCCTCAGCGTTCCTGTAAATAATTATCACTGGAACTTTGAAAATCTATTAGAATCTCCAAGATATGACTAAATAACACACTACAGCTCATTTAGACCCTATGTTGCATGGATAGGTGGCTGAGGGTTCGTAACGTGTATCCGATACGCGGCCCATATCTACAGAGTATCCGATTTTTTATTATTTTTGTGATTTTTTAGTACGTGGCCTGATATGTATGCCTGTTGGATACGGCCCAGCCCAACAACAAGGAATGCTATCTCCAAATGCACCCGACGCTGGAACGCCCGCAACCTCGCGCCGCCTCCTGGAAACTCGGGCGGTGACGCACACGGCACACCTCGTCCCGCTTGCCGGCCGCCGGCCGCCGGCAACGAGTCTCCGCCCCCCGTGACATCGATCCAGCAACCCTCCGACTCCCGTGAAGGCTGTGAGTTCATCCCCTTCCCTGTTCTCACTTCTCGATCTACTCTATTGTTGCTTGATTTCTTTGTTCCCCACTGATATAAGACAGTGGGATGTGGGAGGAGATTCTTCTGATTCACTTGATGGTATTGGCATTCTCGAAGTGGCTGACCTCCCCCCCTTGATCTCTTCCCCTTGATGAGCCTGAATTGCAAGCTGTGCCTTTTGGTTTGGGTGATCTGCGGCTTGATGTTGAGGATGAGAATGAAACAAATGAGCAAATAGGAACTTGATGCGAGCCTAAATGCCTTTTGTTACTTTCCTATATTTGAGACTACTATATTTGAGAATTTGAGAGTTGAGACTTGAGACATGCTATTCTGTAATAATATAACTTAAGTATTTAAGTGGATTGCAATGTTTTATTGTTTTATCAATTTTAATGTGTTATTATCTTTTTTTATTTTTGAATAGTAAAACTATCCATGTATCGGATTTTTTTTAGGAAATTGCCGTATCCGCATCCTTGTGATACCAATACACATATGTGTATCCGTGCTGCATAGTTTAGACCTGTGTTGCATGGATACGTGTGATGGGCAGTGTATCCCTTATCAGATACGGATACGCGAAGGATATGGCTCCAATACGTATCGGCAGCGTATTGGAAATAAAATAAATCCAACAAATGTCGATACGCACCGGCAATACGTATCTGGGGCAGACCACCAATACGGCCTAGCCTAGTAACCTCCGACACTCCATCCTTATCCACTCCCACGCTGTTCTGTGTCTCATTCGCTGCATTGTGCCGCCGCCCGCACACCCGTGCACCGGCGCATCGACACATCATGGACAAGCACTCCCACCCGCTGGCTGCCGGCGACGAGCCTCCGCCACACTAGCGACACACCTCCGCCGCAGTGGCGGAGCCAGGATTTATACTCAGGGGGGGCCGGCCGTCAGGAATTATACTTAGGGGGGGCCGGCTCGGTCTTTTTCATTGCGATAATTTTATTATCTAGTTGTGTTTTGTATAATTATATTATCTAGAAGATATTAATAGGTATATATGACAAGAATTTTATATAATCTCCTTCTTAATATAAATAAAAAATATTAAGTCATACTACTATTTTGTTGTTGTTGTTGTGAAACATTGGGGGGGGGCATGGCCCCTGCCAGCCCCTCAGCTCCTCCAAAGGTGCTCACCCCCGAATAAGAAGCTCCGCCATGCCCGCATCGCAGTTGCAGCACACACAAGTGCAGCACAGACGACCACCGCAGCCCCACCGACCGCCGGCCACGAACCTCCACCATGCCCCCCACCTCGCAGCATGCACAGGCCCCTAGCAGCGATTCAGTGACGAGCCAACGACAACTCTCTTGATGGCTTTCTATTCTTGATTTAGTCATGTTCTTCAGTTCTTGACCTCTGTTGATTTTCCTTGTTCCCCTTCCTGATCTAGCGCACTCTGTTGCGTTTTGTCCACGATTTTTCCCAGCCACAACAAGATGGCAAATGGCATCACCAACAAATTCTAGTAGTACTGGTGCTAGTGCTTCGTTCTATACTTCTATGCCAATGACGCCAATGACCAAGGCCAGAGCTCATACATTGAACTTCTATGTTTTACTACAGTGATTTATGAACTTCTTTATTTGGAAAATTAGTGAATGGAGACGCTTATCTTGACTTTTGGTTGATTCAAAAATTGGAAAAGAGGAAAACACCAATATTTTAGGGTAATGTCGAACACTCGAATTTTCTTTTGGCTGCTATTGCTTTTATAATTCAATGTTTTATTATTTATTTAATGAAAAATCATAAAACGTATCCGTATATCAGATTTTTTAGACAAATGCCGTATCCGCACATCCATATCCGCCCGATTCTGATACACGTATCAGTGCTGCATAGGTTTAGACCTATATATAGCTTAAACACAAGAAGCTAGCATATGGCACCAGGAGGAGACTAACTCAAATGACTGTTGTGCCAAAGTTTTCTTCGATACGATAGAATGCTGTGTTTATATAGCTACAATCATATTTGAACATTTTTCTCCCTCTTATGAGCTACCAGTAATGCACATTACACAATTTTGCTGACTGGGTTCTAAGAAAGCTCACAGCCCTATAGTCCCATACCAGCAACAAAAGGACACTTGAAAGTTAATAATTAAATCATCCTACATGATACATTAACAAAAGAGCTCACAGAGTTATACCTTCTCCATTCCCTTGACCAAAAAGTATCCACCTACATCGAACAGGCACTCACTTTCCTTGAGACTATGCAACAAACATAAGTTTGATTTCACCATAACCGGAAGGAGGCCAATAAATATCCAATGAGTTTCATTCATGAAGTCCCTTTTTTGAACAAAACCATAATTTCCTGTTTTAGATTTGTCACTTTTCTCCAAAGAATAAACCTGGTACAATGAAAAATAACCCACAGATAATCAGGTGACCATAAAACCTAAGCAAATGGGAGTAACATTATGACACCAAAACAAGTACCAAGGTGACTATGTCTCCAGCTTCATCATACATAAGGAATAAGTAAATGTAATAAATAGACTCTTCAAATGGAATCCAGCAAATGGAGAAAACAAGAATAACTGTAGTGCTGATGACTGATGGGATGTCCTCAAAACACCAATCACCCATCCAGTCCTAGGCTGCTTTATTTAATATTCAATCATTTAGAACTATGCTATATTGAATTATTGATTACTGATTAGGGTGCCAGGGAAATTCAAGCAAATGAAATGCAGGCACATCAATATTGCTCGGTGGCCAAGGCATTGGTTTATGGGTTTAGCTTATAAGAAAAGGACTGAATTTTGTGTTGTCTACAATAAATAACATGGGGTCATGCCATTCATATTCAAGCATTTTTGTAAACTTTTTTTCCTCGTCACTGATTTTATAGTTCACCCAGGTGGCACGTTTTTTTGGGAAAACCATGGCATATATAAAGAACAAGTAATGGGCATGTAAAAGAATGAAAATAGTCAGGACCCGAATATTCACTTCTACTATAAGTCTTGAAGCATATGTCATATTCTGGAGACGAGCATGCCAAGGTTTAAAATCAACAGAACCTTCATCTTTGCCAGTCCAAAACACAGGCTTTTCAAGCTTCACTCTCCCAAACTTGATGATGGCATGCTTCCAGCCACCTGATCCTTTCTTTGAAGGATCATAGCAGGTTCAACAATCACTTCCCCCAGCGAATCAAAAAGCTCCTGGAGCCCATGCGAGACAAACTCATTGTAGGAATTTATCTGATGGCTAATCAGACCAACTTCATCAAAGAAGGACCTTGACGCTTCTTTGCAAAACTTCTCTCGGCTTTCCACACTCATGTCAATTGGAGCATTGGAACATGGCTCAGAAGAAGACTTTCCATTAACATCATCATTGAGGGATGATTTTCCCTTAATATCCACATCCATAGATGACTGGCCTTCATCGACATCTATAGGAGAATCCCTGTTTCTGTCCATGCTATGGGATTTTCCCGCTCCGTTGTCATCCAATTCCATAGCTTCTGGTTCAGAATCAGAGCCGTTTGATGGTTGCCCACTGTCCTTCTGTAGCTCTTCCATTCCACAAGCACTGGCAGCTTATACCCTATCAAGTATCACAAAATCACCAAATTAGTTACTTAGAAACTAATCGTCTCAACAGAAATAATACCATACAGAGTGGACTGTTAAGATCATGAAACCAGAACCACTAAGGCATTAATGATCTATGAAAAATATGGTCGTGAGGCGCAAGGGGAATTATCATGCATGAAGCATCTTTCCAGAAAGTTGTGTGCCTCAACCTTAGGATGGTGTTAAATCTTTTATACAACTCAGAGTATACAGTGAGTTGCATAAAAACGAAGGAGCAAGTGATAGCACATATCAGAGAAATCCAAGCAGAAAACAATGATATCAGCCTATCACTTGACAAACTGACGAAACTGGACAATTGCCACACATAAAACGTCAGCACAAAGCAAGTCACAACATAGAAACCCCATCTATACTGCTGAATGATTTTTATTTTCACAGTAAGTTCCGACTAACGAGTCATCAAAAGACACCAGGGGGATGAAACTGAAATGGGGGGGGGCACAGGGATTGAACTGAACCCTAAAAAATCATGGAAAATAAACTGCATTCGTCCTAAAAATCATGGAAAATAAACTGCATTCGTCCTAAAAATCATGGAAAATAAACTGCATTCGTCCTAGAAAAAACATGGAAAATAAACTGCATTCGTCCTAAAAATCATGGAAAATAAACTGCACGGTAGGCTCTCAGATCAGGAGCGGACCCAGTAAAGGACATGGGTGTACACATGTACACCCAATAATTTTTGCAAAGCAATCGAAGTTAGTAGTCATAATACATACATATACACCTGTAATTAGATTCAGATCCCGATTACGAATAGTATGTTAGGGTTTGGGCGCACGGCTTCGCGCAGCAGGAAGGGAGGACCAAGGGGAGGAAATACCTGGTGTCCTGGTGGTGCTCGTCGCCGGCCAAGGTGGCGAGTGGCTGGGTAGGGAGGCGACGGCCGGGGGACACTGAAAAAGAAGAAGGCGGACGCCATGAGGAGCTTTGTCGCGAGGACGCTGGGCCCAGGTGGTGCTCGACCGAGCGAAGTCTCCTCTCCGGCGAGCGGATGGAGATCGGCCGCGGGCGAGGCGAGTTTAGGCCTTGGCCGGCTGGCTGGCTGGCCAGCGCACTCTCGAATCACTGCTCACGTGAACAGTGTTTTCAGACAGAACAATATTTTTCTCTCACAATAATCACCCGGAACAGTATTTTTGCTTATTTTTCAGTCCTGCCGAACAGGCCTAACTAACATGTGCCTGCACAACCTCTATCCTATAGTGACTCGATCGATGATGAAACCGCATCTTGTAATCCCACAAATTGAAATAACTGGCACTTTCCGTATGAGTAGACCGGCAACGCGTGATGATAAATGAACACATCCAAATGTTGCTAAAGTAAGGCCCCGTTTTCTCATAAAATTCCTGTCATATCGAATGTTTAGATATATGCATAGAGTATTAAATATAGACTAATTACGAAACTGATTGCACAACTTACGACTAATTTACGAGACGAATCTTTTAAGCCTAATTAGTTCATAATTTGACAACATGGTGCTACAGTAAACATGTGCTAATGACAGGTTAATTAGGCTTAAAAAATCGTCTCGGAAATTAGCCTCCATCTATGTAATTGGTTTTATAATTAATCTATATTTAATGCTCCTTATTAGTATCTAAACATTCGATGTGACGTGAATTTTAGGAGCGACTAAATAATCAAACACCCCCTAAGTACACTCGGAGAGGTGAAAATAACACTAGCATGCAGATGGTTTCTGCAGTTGATAAACTGACTAAAGCTAATTTGTTGTCAGAAAAAAATATTGTACTATAGCTAATCAGCCTATTCGCTGATTGGTTTCTGGGCTGATAAGTCCGGCTGGTGCTAGTTTATTATGAGAAGAGAACACTATATCATAACTGATAAGCCCTGACTGAAATCAACAAGCGAACAGACTGAATAAGTAGACGGATAAGTTCAAGCGAACAGGTAGCCTTAACTGGTGGTAGAACTAACAGTTTACTAATCAACACGGCGGCCTTACATCTGTCGGGATCGATTTCATTACCTGCATTGCATGAGTGATGAGCCAACAACTCCATCCACGAAGCCAGAGTCAGCTGTATTTATATATTACTGATATTTATACTATAACCTAGTTTTCAATCTACATCCTTAAAAAGTATGGTAGTAATAGATGGATATTGAAGCATACGGTGACCACATTGAAGATATTTGGACGGAACAATATTGAATTTGGTTACGAGGTTTGTGATGCGGAGTATGGCACCTTGAATGGAATTTGATTTTCCTTGTTGGGAGGACAAAACACTGCCTGCATGATATGAACCACAGAAAAATTCATGTCCTTCCTACACGGGTCATCAGCTGTCCTAGACCTACCTGGAGTCTATCGTCCTGTTCTCTTGGGCTTGTTTGGCTGATAAGCCATGACTGAAAGTACTATTGGCTGATTTGGTGTTAGAGAAAAATACTATTTGTTGGCTGAAAAAGTACAACTTATAAGCCAAATAAGCCCAAACGAACAGGATGTATGTATCAACGGACCTCACTATCTTTCTTATGTTCCCTTGTTTATGGAGTCATTAGCAGAGTAGTAAAGGTGCATATGTTGTATTTTATTGTTACGTCGTGCCTTTGTTCAGGTAGGTAGTTGTTTTGATTCTATATATAAGTCAATTTAGGCTTGGTAACTAAAGAAATGGTGTGTTGAATATTATTAATTCTGTTGCTTTATGTAGGTGGAGTCTAAGTGCTTTTGAACAATTTTTCTACATTGGCTAAAAAAGTAAGAAGAGGAGTTTCATGGTGCATTGCCTATCAATTCGAAGAAGAATGCACTAATTATATATTTTTTTTAGCCAGCAGAAGTGTCACATAAAGTCTATAGATATCAGTACTTTAGTTGCAGCCAAATTCCACCTGCAACTGCAAGACTCCAACGGCTTCTCTTGCCCACCACGCGCTGACGCACAACACCATGCATCGCACACGCCCCACAGCGTCGCACGCACCGGCGGCTGACAGCGATGGCGGGCGGCAGCAGATTCGGTGCCCACCCGCCACGTACGTTGCTGTTGGACGCACCGCACCGATGACGCCAAAACCAACTGCGGGTGCGGGGTCGTCCCCGAGGGCCCGGCTCGGGCCTCGGTTCCGCGCGACGGGACGCGCGCGGTCACGTCGGCACGGCGCGCACCACACGCGCCCATCGGCCCGTGACTACGCCCGGGCCCTTGCTCGTACGCTGCGTCCGCACTCCGCCGGTGTGCATGCAGAAAAGTCACGGGCCCGTTCCTGGCGTTTTACGCGCGACGCCAGCCCAGCGTGGCCTGTGGCCTGTGGGGATGCGCGGCACAGTCACGACGCCAGCACGGAGCCCAAAAGGAGTGTTCACAGGAGGCCCATGAACCAAAGAGTGACCGACCCAGATTGGGTTTGTAATATTTGTGAGCCAAAATCCAGCAGTGAACAGTAGAAGTAGCGAAGGAAAGAAAGAGAGAGGCAACCAATAACAACTCTGTAAAGACAAACCCTAAATCACTCTACCGGTCAACAGCCTATCCGGCGGACCTCGAATTCCCTTTTCCAATTCCCCGCCGCCGCCGCAGCAAGCGTCGCCGACAATTTGGTACCAGAGCCATCGATCCGGCGCCTCCAAGGGCTGGATCCGCCAGAGCCACACCACCGCTTCACCCGTCTTCAGCGCGCCAGGGGAGTCCTGGATCCAAACGTGCGCTCCCTCTTCGACGAAGTACTCAAGCGGATCGACTACCTCCGCGCCGATTCCAGCGGTCGATGGGAGCGGTGGGAGCGCCGCTTCGAGGAGGAGACATCAGAGCTCCAGGAGCGGGACGAGGCGGTGGACCGTCGCATCAAGTCGCTGGAGGAGTTTGCCTCGGCACAGTACACCGCCGCCGTCGTCGTCGCCGACAACTGGGGGCCCACTTCGACGAGCGAGTCTCTGACCTCAAGCAGCGGATGGTGGATCTCGAGCTGATCCGCATCCATGAGATCAACGACGAGCGCGACGACAGGGTAGCCGCCGTCAAGACCGCCGTGGAGGAGCTCGTCAGTTGGCGCCCGGAGGTGGACGGCCTGATCGACGATCTTCGATTGGAGGTGAAGAACCTCCGGTCGAGTGGAGGTCACGCTGCGGTGGAGCTACCCACATCAGGAACCCTGCGGCAACCGGAGTTGGTCGCCACACGCTCATCTGCCAGGACTCCGACCAACTGGCCCAGCGGGCATCGCGTCGAATCGACTACACGGGAGAGGGGCTATGGGTTGGTCACAACCATAGCTCCAAACCAGGCCAATGGTATGCGCCGATTTCCCGATTCCCCTCCTTCTGCTCCATATCCCCGTCCACATCCTACTCCCAACCTTTCCTTCGACGTCGCGGATGCCCACCTTCCTCCCCCACCACCAGACCCTTTACCCATCCAACCCCAATCCTCCAACCTCGGCCAATTACCCAAAATGCATTTTCCTCAATTTGATGGTACTACACCCCAACTATGGATCACTCAGGCCCATTCTTACTTTGATATGTACTTCGTTGATCAATCCATGTGGGTACGCGTGGCTACAATGCAGTTCACGGGGGTAGCCAAACAATGGATTCAGTCCATTGCACACCGCCTTGAACACATTGGTTGGCAGGACTTCTGTGCCATGGTGCGCGAGCGCTTCTGCCGCGATCAACACGAACTTCTCATCCGCCAACTATTCCACATTAAGCAAACAGCCTCGGTTCAAGAATACGTCGATCAATTTGTTGATCTTATTGAGCAGCTCTCGGCCTTCACACCTAACCCAGATACTCTCTCCAACAAACACGTTTCATCGATGGCCTCCACGACGACATTCGCTCTGTTGTTCTTGTTCAGCGTCCCACTGATCTCGATGCTGCTTGTTCACTTGCCCTTTTGTAGGAGGAGGCCATCGAGTGAGTCACCGCC